GAGATGGAAGCCATGAATTCAACTCCGAAGTAAGAACGGAAGAACTGACTAACCTTGCAGACAATCTCATAATCAGTGTACATCTTCCTTCCAAAGCCTAATTCGACAGAAATCCACGGGGAAAATCAGCCCTTTCCCAACTGCGCGAATGCTGGACTGAGAAGACGAACCATGCGTCTGCGGATTTCGAACTTCAATCTCTAGGAAGCTCTCGGGTACGCTGTACATTTCTTCGATCTGCAAAACGATAAAAATGATCAATTCTAACATTCCGTACGAACAAGAGGCAGATGTAGCTGAGAAACTTGTAGATGTAAGGTATCGAACGAGTTTCTTCAAAATGACTTACCGACTGTCCTCTACCCATAATTCCAGGCTCTTCAAACGCGCTGACCCGTGCAAATGGTGATACTGTTGTCATTTTTTCTTGTCGACCCGATTGAGATGGTGGTGGTACAGGAATAAAGAGGGGTACAGCGTCACTTGGCTCGTAAGGCAGTGTCAGTCTTCAGAGCTGTAGCGTCACACGTGTGACCATTGGAATGACTAATCTAGCTCTCACTCACGCAATCAATGCACAAATTCCACAGTTCAGCGGTGCTATAGTGTAGTGGTTATCACTCGGGATTTTGATATGTCATGGTATTCGGTACTCGGATTTCCCGAAACCCAGGTTCGAACCCTGGTAGCACCTTTATTCAACGAAAATGCCATTGTCAAACAAGAACGAGAACTTCAAAACATTCTGTCCGGCGCGGAACGCCATATACCTCTGAGAGATCAAGCACATTTTTCGTCTGGTTTTCGCACACTGACTTGATTTCGCAACCCCTCTGTAACTGAGTTCTCACGACAGGCGGGCCAAGTTTTTACGACTGTAATTCTAAATGTAAAAGGTTATCGTAAACATCAAGAAATTGCCACTTTTGCGATTGTAAAAGGATCGAAGTCATGACCGTAAAACGGATCGTAAAAAGTTCATTTTTACGAGGGTAAACTATGACGTAGTACGACCAGTTATGGCAATTTTTTAAGAGGCCAAACAATTTCATCTTACGCCCGTAAAAGAATGTCTTTTGCGAGTCCAAAAATCAGTAGCTTCCACCAAATTTTTGTCAACAGACGGCGCTGCTGTATGGCGGTCCGCGCCGGACAAAATGTTTTCTCGCTCTATTTAGGTGTGATTTCGCATTAAATTTCTTTGGATTCAATTCTCGCAGGTGTGGTCGTAATGATTACATGATACTACTGAATTGATTCGGCAATGTACAGAACCCTTGATCGGCTTGTCCCGCCTCCCCGACGCAGTCACCCTCCCTTCCATAGGAAGATAATGATCCTGATCCTCCCTCCCAACAGTTTTACTATCCTCATCAAGCTTGGACAATGAACCTTGCACTGTCCTCGTGCTCTGGAGCTCGCAGTCTCGGCATCCTCCGCAAGGACATCTGGTCCAGCGCTGCGGTGACTGGAATAGGACGAAGATACACAAGGTACAAATTCCCCGGGAAATGAGCATTGGTCGTTGAGCGACGGGCCCTGGATCCAAGCCGACGTTGGCTCCAAGACTACGCGTCGAATTACGCCGCCTCACGGGTTGATTGACAAAAAAGCTGGATTGGTGTCTGAGGCTTTCAGTAACAGCACGGGAAGGAAGCCGAGATGATGTAGTCGAGTACTTGACGGCCTTATTCATGATGATTTGAATGAATAATAGGCATCAATGGGAGTATCTGTACAGTGTCCGTACGTCTTTAGCACAAAAAAGAGTTATTTGTTTTGTTTCTTATCCAAGCACTGAATCCACCTCTGAGGCTCTGCACCAGAAAAAGTGTACGCTTCTCATGTACCTACATGAGCGTTCACGGCGTTCATGTAGGTTCATGAGAAGCGGGGTATCCATGAATCTTCATGAACAGCCGGACATTTCATGGACATTCATGAACGGTTCATGAAATCCCGGAAGTTCATGGACGTTCATGAACATCCGGGAGTTCATAAACCCTCATGAACAGCTCATTTTTACTTGTGAGCCGTCCGAGATTTAAGATTGCTTGTTCAGATACGTGAACAACGTGAATGTTGATGGGAAAACGAAAGTCCTTGATTCAGGAAGCTGTCGGGCGTTCAGGTCTCCTGGCGCTTGTTCGGCGTTAGACAAATTTGCACCTCGTGGATCATGTAACGACCAAGCGGACTGCATAGCCACCCATTTTCATGCTTAGAATGCAACCATCACCACCAACTTGGTTTACATTCTTGACAGAGGTCAAGGCGAGCTTCAGGTCCAAGGCAGAACGGTGTTGGAGATGGGAACGGGACGAGGAGCAGGCACCGGCACTAGAAACGGCTCTTCACCCAGCTATCCTTACAACGAATCTGACCTGACTTCAGTGGTGCAACCCGTGTTTCTTGTTGCCTAGAATGCAGTATATCCAACCTGGCCCAGCTTTACGGCGAGCATATGAAATCTCATAGCACTCAGGATAAGCTCGATGCTATCAGGAGAGAAGTGAAGCCAACAAGACTGGATTACAGTCACTGGGCTCGATGGCGTCGATTTTGGTGTCATTGTTGAACCAGAAGACGATGAGAACAAGCAGGAGTCAGTTCTCAGGCCAGGGTTTACGCGTCAACGCGATACGTCACCTCTGCCATTGAAGGTGATTAAATATAGGATGTTATCATTGAAGAGAAAGGATGATGTTGACGACCGGTGCGTATGCTCGTGTATACAGCTTTTCTTTGTTCTCATTTTCCCTTCAATCACAGCTCAGTCAACTTGCTCGGTTCAGCCTCCATTAATCCACCCCGTACACGTTACATGAACATCCTGGTTCGTCCTGCTTATGCTGAGCGCTACGAAGACACCACGAAATGGAATCCCGTACTGCTTTCTTCATTCACCGTCAAGTTGCCGCTATGGTCAGTGATCCTACTGTGCATGAAACCTTACAACCTACGACACCGTATCGACAACGAAAACGCGGCATACCTCTTCGACTCGATGGACCTATCTGTGTTTTTCCTTTGGGCGAAGAAATACGGTGGACGAGCACCCCGAGAAAACGTGATTCAGATTGAGGTCCGTGCACTCGACGTCATCGTGACGGCGGCGAGCTGAGATTACTTGTTTGGGCAAGAGGAAAGACAACGCACAGACCACCCGTCGAGGTATAAATACCCGGCGGTTTTCCTCTGTCTTCCATTCCTCCCCACGTCCTCCCCGCATCCTCTCTCCCCTCCTACTTCCCTCTCCCCTCCTACTCCCCTCCCCCCTCCCGCTCCTTTAAGGATATCGTCACGGCACACTACGGCGAAGGTATGATTTGGCTGTCTATGTGTTCTCTTTGACTCGATAACACTGACCTAGTGTTTCACTTCAAGTACCACAGGCAACGGCTTCACTGGGGTATTGTCGGGACTCGATTGTAACGATGGCGGGCTTTCCAACCATGGTACAGGTATGAATATAGCTACAGTGTAATGTCATTAAGTATTCTCTATCGGTATCTAGAATTACAACATTGAATGAGTGTTTTATTTTTTTTTAACACACCCGTTCAGCCCATGTTCTCTCATGAATCCGCCCTCTACCCATGTATGTTCATCAGCTCCCTGCAGTTGCCCATGTATATTCATGAACCCCCCGCGAGACTTCATGAAGGTTCATGTATATCGCGGATCTCATGAATGTTCATGAACCCCCACGCGAGACCCCATGAGCCCCTATGAAAAATTGAGTTACCGGATCAACGTTCATGAACATTGTGAAATTCACGGAGTTCATGAATGCCCATGGCTGCTCAGGGGGTTCATGAACCTTCATGAGTCCAGGACATTTTCTCTGGTGTGCCGCTCGCGGCTCTAGTGGCAGCTAACCTGGCATGTAGACAACGGTTTTTCAAGTTTCACCCATGGATTTCAGCCATCGCTCAGGTACTGTGGACTCCCGGGCAGTGGTAGTGCGAAGTCACAATGTTGACCGTTGTCTGGTAAAGACTCAGGCGCTCTAATTATATAGGGGGAGGCAATTTCGTCGGGGAGGCGGCGGGGCGGCGGGATAAGCCGATCAATTCAGGGTTCTGTACTGTGTACATTGCCGAATCAATTCAGTAGTATCATGTAATCATTACGACCACACCTGCGAGAATTGAATCCAAAGAAATTTAATGCGAAATCACACCTAAATAGAGCGAGAATGAGATTGTCAACCGAAAACGAAAACAAAACATTTTGTCCGGCGCGGACCGCCATA